ATGTGTGAAGGTAGCTCGCCCGGCAGGTGTCTCATGGCCCAGCAGCATGAGCCCGGTCGTCATCAAACTACCGCTAGGAGGACAACAACAAGAAAATGGTCACAAGAAGAAAATAGGATAGTGATAAAGTGCTACTTTGAAAGTGTGCCATCAAGAAAGGGTTACAGAAAAAGAATGTTAGCGGCATGGCAAGAGAGAGAAATGTTTATTGTCACAGAACAACGGCTAGTCGACCAAGCAAACCAGATCCGCAAGAAAAAATGGTTAAGTGATTTAGAAATGGAAGAAATACAGAAAGAGGTAGAAGAAGGACAATATCGTGAAGCTGATGAATCAACTGATGTTCTTGGAAGTGAAACCCAAGTTGATCAAGAACAAGCAAATGTAGCGTTAAATGGGGGGGAATGTAATGCACAAGCAAGTGAACAAATCGAACAGGATATAGATAGACCGAACATAGACCCAGATGGAAAGTTTGTACTTGTAGAAGGGTGTGAAACATCTCCAGAAGAGATTTGCACAATCGAAAAGATGGAAAGTATCTTGAGGAAAGAGAAAGTACGATTACCACCCTTACGAGGAATAGACAGAGGCAAAGTTATGAAAGCTGTTCAGAAAGTGACTGCTGTTTTAGCAAAAGTTGTACCTAAAGACATATCAGCAACAAATGATCTGCTATATGCTGGGGCTGCTGTAGTTACCGAAATGGTTGGAATGAGAAATTTAGCCTCAAGCAACAAGAGGGAGCCATGGTGGAAAAGACGATTGGAGAAACAAGTGAGAGAACTGAACATTGATCTAGGTAGAGTGAATACGTTGATACAAAATGGAAAAATCAAACACAAGTATAAATACGATCTTGAAAGGCGATACAAGGTCAGACAAAAAGGACTAAAAGCTATAAAAGAAGAGATCAAGCAAAGGATATCTGCAAAAGTTAGTAAAATCAAGAGATATAGCAGTAGAATCAATCAATATCAACAAAACAGAGTTTTCCAAAACAACCAAAAGAGTTTTTTCAGCCACCTTGATGGAGAAGGAGAACAGCAGAATGAAGCACCAGATGCAGAACAAGCAAAAGAGTTCTGGTCGGCGATCTGGAGTAAAGAGGTTAATCATAATAAAGATGCAAAGTGGTTGAATGACTTCAAAAAAGATTTCTATCAAGAAGAAGGACAAGAGAAGATAGAAATAACAACAGAAAAAAATAGAAAGATATTGCAGAAACTTCCTAACTGGAAAGCACCAGGACTTGACATGGTACAGGGCTTTTGGTTTAAAAATTTCCGAGACATGCATATCCATCTGAAGAACAACCTGTCAAGATGTTTAATTGAAGGAAAGGTCCCTAGCTGGATGACCAAAGGAAGAACAGTTTTGATACAAAAAGACAAAACAAAAGGAAATGAAGCGAGCAATTATAGGCCAATCACGTGTCTACCAATAGCATGGAAAATATTAACTGGTATATTAGCTGAAGAGATATATTGTTTCATGGAAAAGAAAGCAATGTTACCTGAAGAGCAGAAAGGAGGCCGAAAGGGATCAATGGGGACGGCAGATTTATTATACATAGACAGAATGATAATGAAAGAAGTTAAAGCCAGAGAGAGAAGTATCGCAGTTGCCTGGATTGACTATCGAAAGGCGTATGACATGGTGCCACATTCATGGATCGTAGAATGTCTCGAAAGCATTGGTGTTAATGAGGAAGTAATTGTATTCATGAAAGAATGTATGAAATCTTGGAGAGTAGAACTGACAAGTGGAAGTGATGTGTTGGGGGAGGTACAGATAAATAGAGGAATATTCCAGGGAGATTCGTTGTCACCATTACTATTTATCATAGCACTGCTGCCCCTTACAAGTATTCTACGAAAGTCTAAACCAGGGTATAAATTCGCTTCGGGAGAAAAAATTAACCATCTGTTATTTATGGACGATTTGAAGTTGTATGGAGAAAGCGAAAAAAGCACTTGATTCGCTAGTTCAGACAGTCAGAATATTCACGAGTGATATCAGAATGGAATTTGGAATAGAAAAATGTGCGACAATGATCCAAAAGAGAGGAAAAGTAGTAAGATCGGAAGGTATTAAACTGCCAGATGAGAAGGTAATACAGTCGTTGCAAGACAACAAAGGTTATAAGTATCATGGAATATTACAAGTCGACAGAGTAAAAGGGCAAGAAATGAAAGAAAAGATCACAAAAGAATATAAAAGAAGAGTAAGAAAAGTTCTAGAAACGAAGTTGAATGGAGAAAACATGATTAAAGGGATTAACATTTGGGCTGTATCTTTGATAAGGTACTCAGCTGCCTTTTTAGATTGGACCAAAGAAGAGAAGCAAGGTATCGATCGGAAGACAAGAAAATTAATCACGATGCATAAGGGATTGCACCCGAAGAGCAACACAAACAGACTTTACATCCCTAGAAAAGAGGGGGGCAGAGGACTTTTGAGCATAGAGGATACTGTTGATCTAGCTGAGCTTGGACTGAAAAGCTATGTGAGAAATAGCTGTGAAAGATTACTAGTAGCTGCAAGGCAAATAGAGGATTGTCAAGGAGAAAGTGTAGTAGACTTTAAGAATAGGAAAAAAAATGAAAGGCAAAAGGAATGGAAAGATAAAACACTTCATGGCCAGTTTTTACGACAAACGGATGATGAAGCAGGAAAAGAACGATGGATGTGGCTCAAAGGAACAGGAATTAAACGTGAAACTGAATCGTTAATTCTGGCAGCCCAAGAACAAGCAATAAGAACCAATGTTATCAAGGCTAAGATTGACAACACACAGGAGGAAAGCAAATGTCGTATGTGTGGTAAGGTAGATGAAACAGTAAATCACATTATTAGTGAATGTAATATGCTGGCCCAAAGAGAGTACAAACGACGTCACGATTGCGTGGGAAGAATGATCCATTGGGAATTGTGTCGAAAGTATGGATTGGCAGCATCAGAAAGATGGTATGAACACCAACCAGAAACGGTTACCGAAAACGAAAGCTGTAAGTTATTGTGGAATTTCAATGTTCAGACAGATCATGTTATACAAGCCAGAAGACCTGATGTCATTCTTATTGATAAAGAAAAGAAAGAATGCAAAATTATAGACTTTGCCATACCGTATGATAGTAGAGTGAATGCGAAAGAGATGGAAAAAATAGAAAAGTATCAAGATTTAGCACGAGAAGTACAGAAACTATGGAATATGCGAACGAAAGTAATTCCTATTATAATAGGTGCACTTGGGACAACCCCAAAGAAACTTTCCAAAAGATTAGATGACCTTGGAATAGGAACACGAATTGTTGAACTGCAGAAAACTGTTATCATCCACTCTGCAAGGATCCTCCGCAAAGTGCTTGAAATTTGAGGAGTCTTGTTGACACCAAGTTTCAAGCTGTTATCACCACTGACAAAGACAGTGTGCGACACAATCAATCAATAATAATAATAATAATAATAATAGTAATAATAATAATAATAATAATGATAATAATAATGGTAATAATGATAATGATGATAATAATAACAATAATAATAATAATAATAATAATAATAATAATAATAATAATGATAATAACAATGATTATGATAATAACAATAATAGTGATCATAATAATAATATAATGATTATAATAAAAATAATGAAATCATATTATGATAACGATAATAATAACAACAGCAAATGATAAGAAGAGGAATCATAACATTGGTGATGATAATAACAATGGTCAATAGTCATTTAATTTTTCAAACTGAACTCAAAGTAAGGGATTTGTTATTTACTACCAATAATATAATAACATTTTGATTTACAATTAATGTAATCATCTGTCGTATTTAGGAATCTCTTAGTTTCCCCAAATATAACAACGTTCTCAATATGACCTCCTGTGCATCATTCAATATTAATTATGATTTTCAGAATTAGAAATATATGTTATAATGTGTCCATAACCAAACGCTTGGATTCAATGTTGCATGTGGCAAGACAAGAACTTTATACGAGGTGATTGCGTGTTTTTATAGTTCTACTGCAAATTTAATAAAGGTTTCATTTTTTCACCGTCCATTGCGCTCTAAACAGAAGTACTGGTAAAATTACATAGGCAATTTGGTCATTTTATTTATCTTCTCCACTTTTCTCTTTATCTCATTTTTCCCCTCTTTCTTGTTCTTATGACCTCTCCTCTTTTTTTTTCTCTCTCTCTTTCCTCCTTCTCTGTATTGTTTCTTAAGCTCTGTCTTTCTGTCTCTCATTCTCTTCGTCTGTCTCTTATTCTCTCCCTTTGAATGTCTTTTTGTCTCTCTCTCTCTCTTTCTCTGTATTGTTTATTATACTTCACCTGCCTGTCTGTCTTATTCTCTCCCTCTGTATCTGTCTTTCTGTTTCTGATAATAATAATGATGATGATATGGTTATTGATACCATTAATGCCATTTTCATATTTATTGCAGTTGTTATCATCGCCATCAGCATCATCATTACAATCATCAACACCACCATCGTTATAGCCATGATCATGATGATTTTCATTTTCATAATTTACTTAATTTACTTACTTTCATAATCAAGATATCCTGAATTGGTTTTCACGAGCAAGATAGGTAGTTCAGTTAAAGTGAGAAAGCGGTGGTATTTTCAGCATTCATGTTGCATATGAAACAAGAATAAAACAGTGCAAAGCAAAGTAGTGGTCGTGTGACAGATTTCGTCTTGAAGCTTGGCCACTGGTCACTGACAAGTTGAAAAAATAAATCAAGCTTTGCTACCCGGGTGAAGGAAAAATTACCCCACATCACTGCCATGGGTTATTTTTTTTAGGTGAAATTAAAGCTTCTCTGGGAGACTATGATTATCTTTTGAGAAGGGTATGAGATGTTATGGAATGCGGGTATGCGGGCACTGACAATTATTACAATAAGTTTCTGAAATTATTTCTTTTAGTATTGATGGAACCACCTTTACAGTTAGCGTTTTTAACCATTATGAATAATATAATTGCAAGAATTCCTGTAACTTCTTTGGGAAAGCATTTTTAAAATCTACATATATGTTTTTTAACATTATAAAACAACCACCAACTTGGCCAAATATCACCCATTATATTGATTTTATTTTATTACATTGATATTCGAGTGTCACGTTTCTTCCTTTCTGTACAACTACTGACTTGGGTGCCTTATGGCTGTCTCCTGAAAGAACACTGGTGAATTGCAAATGTAATGAACTTATATTAATTTTTCCAAGGAGAGTCATTCGCATGGCTCGAACCCGCGACCGCGACGTCATAACCAAAGTAAACTATATTAATCAACAAAATTATAAATATAAAAGAATGCAAATTGCGCCTTTACATCGTCAACTCGGAGTTCTCGAAATATATAACTTTGTCGTTACATCGTACCTAACAATCAGAACTGGCTACTTGCCATAAAATCGCCAACGTGAATATCTAAACAATAAAGATAATTTACAGTTTTATCTAATTTAATCAAGTAATCGTAAGATCATAACAGTACCTACCTACGTAACGTTCGTAATTTTGATAAACCAAAGTACAGACAAATAAGAGAGTTTGCCAGAATCTTACAGAAATCGAAGAAAACGAAACAGTTTTAAATGTGTTCATAGTAAGCGTAACAATTATAGGATAGACTTCTTCTATCATGTCAGTTTCTCAAGCAAAAAAAAAACAAAAAACTAATATCTCGAGAAAAACAAAGTCTTTCTCGACCCGGTAATGTTATTAGATGGGAGAGATTTCGTGACTAGTGATTTCAGGTTGAAGATATTGTTTTGTTTTAGTATTTTGTGTTTATTATTATTTTCCAAGATGGAATTTAGTTTTATATGATAGTGTGTGGTACCATATGAAATCAATATTCAGTTTTACATATAGACTTTTTTCCTTTCCTCTTTTACGACACTCTATTTCATTATTTCATGTGATGTGCTATGTAATTCAACGACTATAACATTGAAGTCTCCTGTTGCGAGTATAGTATTACATCATATAATTTTATTGTATTACTGATTTGTTGGTACAGGTTATCGTTTGGCAATAAGGTTATCTATCGGCTATCTATCAAGGTGTCCCCGTAGGATTAGAGTTGCCCTTGTTTTGTATATAATACGGCTGGATTGTGTACGAGAGAACTATACAGATATAAGTACGTATATCAGGCACGTCTCTTTTAATTATACTTTATTTGACGTGTCCAGGTTGGAGTATTCACTTTGTAACGTATTTTAAATGTCAATAAAGGCGACAAACTCCTATGATCTGTACGGACAATGCTGGGATCCAGGTCGCCAAATGCACAAGGATCCAACCCGTTTACTCGACTGGTTTGATGGCACGGTAACCTATGGATGATATTTTCCTATAATTCATTCTTTGTTTCACAATGATTCGATAACTTTACGTGACGCCAAAGAGTCTAGAAGAAACAAAACCATTCCATTGTAGGATATCGGTACTGTAATAGCTCTATAATAACAAGCAAAAACCACTGCAATTGCAAGTAAAATGCTCTACACTAACAGGTAAAAATCTCTGCAATTAAGTAAAAGGCTCTGCAGTTGTACTTAAAAAGTTCTGCAATAACAATCGACCTATGCTTTTGTCATCAACATCTCACACTCATTTCTTTATTTCTGGAACCGTTGGTATAACTATGAAAAAAGGAAAGATTTTCTGTCATGTTCCCAGAAAATCGTTGAGTCTCCTTATTCTCCGTTATTGTACCTTGGTTCCTGCTGACCAGCCTTCAACAGAGATAACTTTTGGTGCTTTCCATAGGCCCATGCTTCTGCTTCCCATGATATATATATTTATAGATACGTAATCCGAAAACACATTTTCTGAGGAATTATCAGCACGCTATGTAGGCTTTCTGTAAACAAATGAAAATCGCTTAAACTAAAAATTCTTTACATTTATTAAAGATCAAGTACAGTAACAATATACTGTATGTATATAAAGAGTAAGTATAAAAAATATATATTTGTGACTTAATCTTAAAACGAAGATATTACTGAACCGTGTGGAGCAGCGAATCCACGATTTTAGAAGGGGGGGAGAGGCATGTTGGAAAATAAATAGTTTCGAAAATTTCACAGACGCTCCTCTCTTGTTTCCTTTTTGTTTTTATAGTTGACTTGCATGAATAATTGGTGAACTATTCAACATTAAAAGGTAGTTAGCATTATTCAGCATTAAATACTTATTCATTATTAATGAACTGCTCATCATTAAACAGTTATCATTCGTGAACAGCTCACCATCAAATAATTTGTGATCATTGGTGAAATGTTCAGAATTAGATATTAAGTTAACAAATAATGAAATCACCGGATACGTTATTTGTGTTGAATAAGTATACAATAAGAAAAAATGTATCAAGTGACCTAATTTACACACAAAAATATTTGCATGGAGGGAGAAAAAATAGCAAAAATAATACACGACATATTTCATATTTTACATATTGTACACGTAGGGACTAACAAAGGGGACTAGCAGGAATTGCACTCAGCATAGTGCAGTTTCCCTTGCTGTGAACTTATTCTGAATGTACTCTTTTTAATGACGAAACTTGACGTCCATGATTGTTGCGAAGTGGTTTATATACAAATTCAGAATGATGTGAGCATATATATATATATATATATATATATATATATATATATATATATATATATACAAATATATATATATATATATATATATATATATATATATATATATATATATATATATACATACATATATATATATATATATATATATATATATATATATATATATATATATATATATTTGTATATATATATATATATATATATATATATATATATATATATATATATATATATATATATATTTGTATATATATATATATATATATATATATATATATATATATATATTTGTATATATATATATATATATATATATTTGTATATATATATATATATATATATATATATATATATATATAAATATATATATATATATATATATATATATATATATATATATATATATATATATATATATACATATATATATACATATACACACATATACATACATATATATATACGTATATATCAGTGTGTGTGTGTGTGTGTGTGTGTGTGTGTGTGTGTGTGTGTGTGTGTGTGTGTGTGTGTGTGTGTGTGTGTGTGTGTGTGTGTGGTGTGGGTGGGTGGTGTGTGGGTGATGTGATGTTTAAAAAGTTTATTAAAATGATCCAAAGAAAGATCTAGGTAACACTGTTTCAAGAAATGTCTTACTGAATATTACAAGAGAAGACCCCGTCTACTTTTGCAACTAAGGCTGAACCCTAGTCCAATTACTGCGTTAATATAAACAACAGTAACTTCACAATGAGTTCGGCATCATAAGCAACATCCTTCAGTAAAACGCATCTCTCCCTTACAAACAAATTCTGTGACCCTGTTCGTCTAATAACCTTTGACATTCAGACACAAACCCCTTTCCACAGACCCTCAAAAGCAAAACCTCAATAACAAACTCGTGAACTATGGCAGGAAGGGTTGAACTTTGAAGGGGTCGACAACGTGGGGTTTCGTCGTCTGCGGCTCCGGGAGATAAAAGTCTTCTTGAACTTCGAGAGATGAATGTCCTACTAAATCAGGGTCGTGGGAGGTTGAGGACGGAGGGGGCGATGTTGGAGATAACTTCAGAGGAGAAGAGGAGGAGGAGGAGGAGGAGAAGATAGAAGAAGAAGAGGAGGAGGAGGAGGAGGAGGAGGAAGAGGCTGAAGAAGGAGAAGGAGGAGGTCTCGTCAAGTGCCAGTTCCTCGTTGGATTTTCTGTTGGTGCCGTTGAGGTTCTTTGAGGGATCTGGTGGCCGTTGGTCTGGTGCGTTTTCTCTGGCTCTGAGTCCTTTTGGTTGACGTTTCTTTTATAGTGATATTTGTCCTTCTTCTGAAAAGAAGAAAATATACGTTTTGAAGCTATATGCAATTCTAGGGTTTTGTGACAGTTGATAATTATAATAAAGTAAACCTAAAGATATGATAATGACATTCTTATTTCTGGCTATCACATAAATTATCTTATGATAAGAAGACATCGCTGCCACCACTATTACTACTGCTGCTGCTGATACTACTACTACGACTATTACTACTACTACGACTACTACTACTACTGCTACTGCTATTACTACTACTACTACTACTACTACTACTACTACTACTACTACTACTACTACTACTACTACTATTACTACTACTACTACTACTACTATTACTACTACTACTACTACCACCACCACTACTACTATCATTACAATGATTAATACCTCTACCTTATATCTAAGATAAAGGCCCCTACCTGGACGACTTGGTACAACTTCTTATTGACGTCGTAGAGAATGGGAGACTTTTCGCAGTCAACGTTTCGCCAGTGGTCGCATGTCAGGATCTTCTGGTTGAAGATCGTCCCGTTCGGGCAGAGGAACGAGCTCTTCTGGCTGCCGTACTGACACATGTGGAACACCTGCGGGAGAGGGGGGGGGGGACTATTCAATGCGATACATGTAGGAAAAAGGTATGAATGAAAATAAATGTCTTCATAGTGCAGATGTATCTGACCGGTTTGGGTTAGAAATACGTAATTTTCTAAAAAGGATATAATTCAAACGGGTCGAATACTTATGTTTGGAAGATACTGATTCTCACTCATACATTTTTCTACGACTGTGGGACAAGGGGGGAAGGACGAAATGCTAAACATAGTGGGAAGAGATGGGGTTCTCACGGAGGGAGGTTGAGGGAGGAAGGGGGGGAGGAAGAGAGGGAGGGGAGGAGGTGAACGGAAGGAGGGAAGATACATAATTTGTTCTTCATGGAATGGAAAAAATGACTATCACTCTTTTTATCTTTTATTCTTCTGTCTGTATATCCATTTCTCTCTCCCCTTTCTCCCTCTTTCTCTCTCTGTCTGTCTATTCCACTCTCCCTCTCTCTCTTCCTTCTCTCTCTCTCTTCCCCCCCCCCCTCTCTCTCTCTCCTTTGTCTCTCTCTCTCCTCTCTCTTTCTCTCTCTCCTCTCTCTTTCTCTCTCTCCTCTCTCTCTCTCTCTCTCTCTCTCTCTCTCTCTCTCTCTCTCTCTCTCTCTCTCTCTCTCCCTCTATCTCTCCCTTCTCTCTCCCTTCTCTCTCTCTCTCTCTCTCTCTCTCTCTCTCTCTCTCTTTATGTTTCTCTCTCTCTCTCTCTTTATGTCTCTCTCTCTCTCTCTCTCTCTCTCTCTCTCTCTCTCTCTCTCTCTCTCTTTCTCACTCCCCGTCTATCTGTCTATCTCTCTCTCTGTCTCACACACTTGGCCTGCACCGGACCAGAGGCGTCGAGGTGAGGTGGCACCTTACCTGGCACCGCGCCTCGGGATCAGCGTAGTACCC